ATTTCAAAATTTCATTCAGAGTGCAGTCCGTGACTGAACTCATGACATGTTAGCAAGTACGTGGAATGTTTCTCCGACTCAAAAAGATTGGATAAGTAGGGACTTACAGCTTTTGAAGGAACCTCGTTCAGAAATAACGGCGCATATGCTCATAAATTGTTCGTTTTGCTCATAAAAATACCAACATTGCTTTAACGATGAATATATTACTTCTTATGTGGACCTTCTATAGCGCATTGCTCCTTTATTAAAATGCGTCCACAACTAAACTAACTTAATGCGAACTCTAACTGGCAAAACAATTGTAAATGTTGCCTAGGGAAGTACATAATCGGCCAACCGTTTTTCCAGTGTTCGCCGTGAATTTGCTTATGAAGAAGAGCAAAATACCATATTTTGGAGGAAAAAATCGTTCTTCAGGTGACTTTATTTGCACTTTCTTTTATATATCACTTAGTCTCCCTCAGGACATGCATTTTTAATTCAATGCTGTTCGACGTTCAAGTACGCGGCAGAAGAATTTCCAATGTCGACTAGGGAAGTGCATAAACGGTCAAACATTATTTATTGTTCAACCTGAATTATGTATACATACAGGAGTTACACAAGGTACATCACATCAACAGTACAGGTACTAGTTAAAAATGCAGACACGCGTTTTGACGATATTCCACCACTACACGGCGCAGCCGCGAGGGGTTTGGCTCATGGCTAGGTCCTTTAAAGTTTGCCGCAGGCGTGCTCTTATACACTCCAGTTTTTCCAATTGCCGTTTTTAAATCTCCTCTGAGGGTACTCGCTAACATGCAGTGAATAATTCGATTTAAAGTTATGCAAGCTAAGACTGAAAGCTGGTGAGTATTTTGGCGAGATAACAGAGGAATATTCATTAACTTGTAACAGGTAGTCAGCACTATAAACTAGCTCATCATACGTTCGCCAACATTCTCAAGTGTGTTTTCGAATCGAACAAACTAATTGGGTAGGATTGTACTAGTGCTTACCCGCAGCCTAATTTCAATATAGTTCAGTCTTGTCGGGAGCTGGCTTTTGAACGAGCTCTGTTTTGACGGCCTGCGCAAAGTATACTCTGTTAAAAATGACTACTTAAATCGAATGCATTTTTCTCAGTGATTTTTCCGTGTTATTTCTATTTGGACAATTTTGAAATTCTCCAGGTCCACTTCCAGTGACTTCCTGCTAGACTGACTCCAACTGTTTCCCACCTTCCTCTGAACTGCGTCCCCGAGCCCCCTTCCTCCAATAATTATGTCGCTGTTGGTTTTTTCTGTTTTCAGTTGACTGCACACTGGTGTTAAACCTAGCCCCCGGCCAAGCACCACTTAAGGGGTGCTTGAATGTTGTCTCCACCCCCCGCTCGACTCTCTTGCCTTTTAACTACCTTTGCCCACAACGCTTCCGGCTCCCCACTGCAGCAAGAAACAACTGTTTCAAGAGTTACTCGGTATTGCCTTCCCCTACCCTCTGGTGCAATTACAACTGTCACCGCAGCTGACCTCAAACCCTTGCCATTCCTGCTCCTCTTGCGAGCACAGTGTGTTCTCTAGTACATAGGTGTACTCCGATCTGGTCCAGGATTCACCAACCTTGGCTGCTTCGTCTTGCGAGGACTGGACACTTCCGGTGGCTCAGTGGATAGGACGTTCATCTCTAGCTCACCGGTCGCGGGTTCGAAACTCAAGTGTAGCGGTAGTTTCTGTGGCTATACTGGAGTCAGGTTACTACGACTGACGACGGCTTATGAGCCAGACATACGCGTATCTCGTAGTTCTACCGTTTGCCGGTAAGATATTAGTATGTTCTCTGTTCGCGTCAACCCCCACCCTTCGCGCTGGTGTTTTCAGACCATTCCCGAGGCCATAGGAATGGCCTCCTACAATCATATAAAACCAGAGTCCCGCCCCCTCTCCCACTAACAGACACAAGCGTTTCCACGATTAGTTTCGCCCTGCGTGGCGTCATTGTTGAACTTGCGTTGTTCTCTTGTATAGATTGCGGCGATTTGGACGACTCCCTTGGTGTATCCATTGTTGAGGTTTGTACTTTGATTATCCTTTACTGTTTGTTTAATAGTACCGTATCACCTTCATAGTTGTTATCACTGGTTTTTAGCGTACGCGTGGATACTGGATAAAGTCGGAGAAGTCAATAGACGTAACACCCTGCTTTTATAAATTCAGATATATTTTATAGAAAATGTGCACAAAAATGTTCTTTTTGTTACTCCTTTACTATGCAGTTACGCCTTTTACAAATATTATAGTTGCAGAAAGGGTACCTTTCGGTCTTTAATAAAAAATACTATAAGTTGGAGCCGGACCCGTTAATTCAAGGTCGCTTAACTATATGCAGTATACATTCCGTTAAAGGAAAAACATTTGTTCCCTTTAGTATGAGGAAGAAGGTTCATACTTCCCATATAAATTTTCCAATGGATATGGACCAAGTTGTATAAGTTGTAAGCAGTACTGATAAATGGATGAATACGTTGCTTTATGGATGCACATTTCACGGTCGTAAAAAACTTCACAAGTAGAAACTTTTTAAAACTAAAAGGTACCCTTTCATGGAATAAAGAAGAAGACCTTATTTGCTAACAGATGTGAACAAGATGAAATATTTCTAGGCGTTTACTCTAAAAAGTTTTAAATGTCAGAAGATTGGGGGTCCAGATATGTTATCGCGTTCATCATCTCCCAAAGGTAAGGAAGAAGA